TCTCGGGAGGCTCGATCGCACCCATGTGCAGCAGGGACGCACGCCGAGTGGGGCAACACGAGGCGTCAGTGCTATGCTGCAGTCGAATCTTCATAAGGACGCGGTGAGCCAGCAAAACTGTACCTTTCCACGAATTCAGTGTATATATCAAGCATACACCTTCGAGATCAATTGCAACACCTTTCTGCATTGCACGAATTACCCCGCCAATACCCCGCATCACCATGGACGCCATTAAGGATACCGTCAACAGCGCGCTCGAGAAGCTCAACATCACTGGGGGCGCACCCCAGGGCACACCGGCGAAGGACCCAACAGAGGAGCAGCTGAACGAGCTCAAGGCTAAGTACCAGAAGGCCGGCCAAGAGCAGGTTTTCGTAAGTGCAGCCCGGGCGTTGGTGTTCCAAGTCTGGGAGCACCTCGCTGGACTGTGTGAGCACTGCATGGCTTGCTCAACCCCGCGACGTGCCCCAAGACTTGTGCTCATCACATGCATCTTTACTGACAGACGCAATCAGGCCTTCTACGACAAGCTCTCCACAGCCGAGAAGGCGACCCTCTTCGAGCAGCTGAGCAACTTCAGCCCCGACTACATCAACGAAATCACCGAGCGAGCCCTCCACCCCGCCGAGACCGAAGCCAGCGAGAACAAGCTCGAGCCCCTTCCCGAGAATGCCACATCCTCTGTCCTCTCGTCCTCCCAGGAGGACCTCGACAAGTGGTACGACAGCGGACTGGACCTGATCGCCGAGAACAAGGTCGCGGTTGTGCTCATGGCTGGTGGCCAGGGCACCCGTCTGGGCAGCTCAGCGCCCAAGGGATGCTTCGACATTGGTCTTCCTAGCAAGAAGAGCCTGTTCCAGCTGCAGGGTGAGAGGATCAGGAAGGCCGAGATGTTGGCCGCCAAGAAGCACAACAAGGAGAGCGTAACCATCCCGTGGTACGTCATGACCAGCGGGCCTACTCGCGGCCCTACCGCCGACTTCTTCGAGAAGCACAACTACTTTGGCCTGAAGAAGGAGAACGTTGTCATCTTCGAGCAGGGTGTCTTGCCATGCATCTCGAACGAGGGCAAGATCCTGCTGGAGAGCAAGTCAAAGGTACGTCCGCTCTCATTCAGGGTGCTGTTAGACCAGGACAACATACTAAGAATGACTAGGTCGCTGTCGCACCCGATGGCAACGGCGGTCTCTACCAAGCTCTCATCCAGTCCGGCGTTGTGCAAGACATGGGCAAGCGCGGCATTCAGCACATCCACGCATACTGCGTCGACAACTGCCTCGTCAAGGTCGCCGACCCCGTCTTCATCGGTTTCTCCGCCTCAAAGAACGTTGACATCGCTACCAAGGTCGTCCGCAAGCGCAACGCCAAGGAGTCCGTTGGCCTTATCCTGCAGAAGAACGGCAAGCCAGATGTTGTCGAATACTCGGAAATCTCTACCGAGGACGCAGAGGCCAAGGACTCCAAGGACTCCAGCCTGCTCAAGTTCCGTGCTGCCAACATTGTCAACCACTACTACTCATACAAGTTCCTCGAGAGCATCCCAGAGTGGGCAAAGAAGCTGCCTCACCACGTCGCCCGCAAGAAGATTCCTTTCGTCAACACCGAGACCGGAGAGACAGTCAAGCCAGAGAAGCCAAACGGCATCAAGCTGGAGCAGTTTGTCTTTGACTGCTTCCCCTTCCTGACTCTGGAGAAGTTTGCCTGCATGGAAGTGAAGCGTGAGGACGAGTTCTCGCCTTTGAAGAACGCTCGCGGAACTGGTGAAGACGACCCAGATACCAGCAAGGCGGATATCATGACCCAGGGCAGGAAATGGGTGCAAGCCGCCGGTGCGACTGTCGTTAGCGAGGACTCCGACTCCTACGTCGAAGTTTCACCATTGATCTCCTACGTAAGTTCTCGAGGCTGTTTGAGATATGAGACTATATGCTAATCGAAAACAGGGTGGCGAAGGCCTTGACTTCCTCAAGAGCAGGACAATCAAGGCACCTGCGGTCATCGAGTCTGAAGACTAGAAGACTTACAAATCTCGATGCAACGTGCAAACGCCCCGAGACCTTCTCTTCGGAACGACACAGTAGAGTAAGGAATATGGCCACCCACTCTTACAACAGAAGCTCCAGTACTGTTGGCATTGAATAATACATAGACACGAATACTTATGAATATATCGGCCACTTGCCTCTTCGGCGCCTCTGACATATCTGGACCTCCCAAAGGGTGATTACTAACTGACTTGTGGAGAAGCTAACTTTGTGTCCTAGCTCCAGACATGCGACTGCAGCCATGGTGTCATGAAGCGGGGCAGAGACATAGTTCACGAGCTGGCGGCAGCAGCGGAGGAATTGGAAAAGATAGGTCAGGGGCCGACGGCATGAGGAAAGCGCCTTTGCTGCACGAGGATAGGAGACAGAAGTTGTCTAGGGTGAAGAGGGTAAGGTTGCAGTCGTTTGAAACGTCGCATGATGCAATTGGGGGCCGTTTGGGACGCACTTTCGACCTCGGGAAGAACCAGATTGCGCATTTCGCTAGCGCACGGAGCAGGGACCACCGTCATGGGAGATGCATTTTGCCCGTTGCCCGAACATTCCACGATCCCCTCATTCTCTCACCACATACACCACTGGCAGGAGGTTGAAGAAGTGTTGCAGCGGGAAGAAGGTCTGGAAAGTTGAAAGAAAGTAGGTCGCGCCTGCCGAGGATTCCTCCGTGTCGAGGGTGCGCGCGAGGTTCCGCCCTGGCGCGTGCTCCGTCCGCAGTCTTTACCCCTCGACAACAGCCCCTCGAAAAATCTGCGACTGACTGGCGAACGCAGGTGAAGAAATTGAAGAAGTAAACGAAGCAGGTACGTGCGCCTATCACTCCTGCTGTTCGGCGCGCATTCTCTCGAGCAAACCAGAGGTTCAGAGCACACGTCGCAGCAAACACACCACACAACCGCCCCTCATCCGCGATCCACTCCTCCTCGCTGCTCACACAACCACCGACTACATACTTATACGCTGCCCAGATATACGCAGAGGAACATCATCATGTCTTCTCTATCCCGTCGTGCGTGCTTCAAGTGCGGAAACGTTGGCCACTACGCCGGTAAGCGATATCCGCGCATCTGCTCGGCGCGCGCGCTGCAGTCGCATGGTCGGGACATGCATCGCGAACATCGTCTCTGGCTGCGGTGTCTGCATCGCGTGACGTCGAGCAATGAGGCAAATTCCACAAGATGATGCGACTAACAACAATGCGCAGAGGTCTGCTCTTCGTCTGAGAGGCTTTGCTACAACTGTAAGACTACATCTAAACATCATTTGCGACTATGGACTAATCTTTCCACAGGCAAGCAGCCAGGCCACGAGTCCAACGGATGCCCGCACCCACGCACCACCGAGAGTACGTCACCCCGAGTCCTGGCGCATGTCGAGAACACAGGGGGCTATACATATAGAGAATGAAGGGCTGACAAAGGAACAGCCAAGCAGTGCTACCACTGCCAGGGTCTCGGACACGTCCAGGCTGACTGCCCGACTTTGCGCCTGAGCGGAGCCGGCACAAGCGGACGTTGCTACAGCTGCGGTATCGCCGGTCACCTTGCCCGCAACTGCCCCAACCCTGGAATGGGTCGCGGCGCTGGTGCTCCCCGTGGCGGATACGGAGGAGGTTTCCGTGGCGGCTTCGCTGGCGGCGCTCGCCCGGCCACCTGCTACAAGTGCGGTGGACCCAATCACTTTGCCCGTGACTGCCAGGCCCAAGCCATGAAGTGCTACGCCTGCGGCAAGCTTGGTGAGTAAACTGAGCGCATTTCTAGTTACATTTCTGACCAAACCAGGCCACATCTCCCGCGATTGCACTGCTCCCAACGGCGGCCCATTGAACACTGCCGGCAAGACCTGCTACCGCTGCGGCGAGACCGGTCACATCTCCCGCGACTGCACACAGGCTGAGGTCAACGGCGATGCTACCGCTGCCCCTGTCGCTGCTGCTCCCGTCCCGGCCGCTGCCCCCACCGCTACTGTCGCTTAGACGACTGTGAGCTTCGCCAGAGGTCCACCATCGAGTAATATCACGGCGACCACTGGCTTACCTGGCATGCATTTCCATGCCTTCCCTTAGTTTGTCTTTCATCACAATCGTTTTCTTGGCCAATCTCAGCATCATATCGGCATATCTCACGCATTCACGAGTCATCAACGGATACGGCAAAAGTTCTTCACGATTCTTACACTGATACCCCACGAACATTGTATCCCTTACTTCAACCATTCTACCATTATTTCGACAGACGACGGCTTGGCGATTTGGACGGCGGCCTGTCTGCATGCAAGTGATTTGGATCGACTGCGGCTTCGGCAGAAGCGTTGTTGATGCGAATTTGCTTGGATAGATCAGGTTCGCTTATGGAGCTGGAGGCGGCTGTGGTGGTTTGGTGTGGAAAGAGTGCCCCCCGGGGTTGAGGGGGAAGAGTGAAGGAGACTGTGTGTGTTTGTCGGGAGCTGAGTCGGTATATCTGTCTGTTATCATGTTTACACTTTGTGCTTGCATATGATAGATCTAGATTGTATCATCTATTTCGAATATATGCAATCATGAAATTTTACTTGCCAAGGTCTGACTTTGTTGCTGTAACCGGTCGCGGCCGTAAGCATCTGAGCTGCCCAAATTTAAGAGTTGTCGCGATTTATGGACATACTAGACTGGGACATACATCACCGTCTTTGTGTTCGGATTCTGCTTACGATCGAGCCGGTGCACGTTCAGCTTTATCTCAGGGTTGGAGGCCATCGTGTTGGTGGTGGCTACCCCTTCCTTCCTCTCAGTCATACACGTGGAGTTGAGCCTAGCGCTCCTTCCCATCATGCCTCCCTCCACAATCTCACCTCCGTAGAATTTTCTCTCATCTCTCCTCGCATTCTTCGCAGCGTCACTCGCAAACACATCATTCGCAATTCGTTCGTATCGTTCCTTTTCATCTCAACTCGCGCCAGTTATCACCAGCAGTTACTATGGGTGCTTCTTCAGTGGCCAGCGACGACTCGAACAACGATGTGAGTGACTGCCTCTTTCCACAGTAAGAGTGATCTTGACTAACCCCACAAAGGACGGCTTCATCGTCGATATCGATGCGATCCAAGCGCAAGGCATCGGCGCTGTCGACATTTCGAAGCTCAAGTCCAACGGATACTATACGATCGCATCGGTGCATTCAGCTACTCGTCGCAACCTACTGAAGATCAAGGGCTTCAGTGAGATCAAGGTTGACAAAGTCAAGGACGCCATCGCCAAATGCCAGGTACGTCACTGCAGTAGGCCAGCACTTGAGTGCGCATCACTAACATCCATTGCAGCCTTCTGGTGGAGGCTTCCAGACCGCCCATGAGCTCGGACATCTACGCAAGCGTGTCATCAAGATCTCTACTGGCAGCAAGGCACTCGATGCAGTCCTCGGAGGGTGGGTACACATCACAGTTGATCTTCCGAGCATTGACACTGACGATACGCGACAGTGGCTTCCAGACCATGAGCATCAGCGAGGTCTTCGGAGAGTTCCGCTGCGGAAAGACTCAACTATCACATACCATTTCCGTGATTGCGCAGCTACCGAAGGACATGGGTGGCGCAGAAGGCAAAGTGGCATACATCGGTATGTGGGATGTCGCTGCCTCCGAATACCGCTGACCATGACGCAGATACCGAAGGTACCTTTCGGCCTGAGAGGATAGCCCAAATCGCTGAGCGCTTTGGAGTCGACCCTGAGACTGGTATGCACCCTTCTCACAACTTCGATGGCGTTCACTGACAACGTATAGCCCAAGACAACATCACCTATGCCCGCGCTGTCAACTCGGAGCATCAGATGGAGCTTCTCAACAAAGTCGCCGAATTCTTCGTCAGCAACGAGTACCGACTACTCATCATCGACAGCATCATGGCTCTGTTTCGTGTCGATTATACAGGTCGTGGTGAACTCAACGAGCGCCAACAGAAGCTCAACCAGTTCCTCTCCAAGTTGACGCATGTCGCTGAAGGTGCGCGAAAGATTACTCCCAATCGTTAATCTCGGCTAACATCACCCAGAGTTCAATGTCGCCGTGCTATTGACAAACCAAGTTCAGAGCGACCCTGGTGCGAGCGCTCTCTTCGCTGGCGCAGACGGTCGCAAGCCGATCGGTGGCCATATCCTTGCTCACGCGTCTGCTACGAGGATTCTGCTCCGTAAGGGTCGCGGTGAGGAGCGTGTTGCCAAGATCCAAGACTCTCCTGGTATGTCATCCTTCGTTGCTACTACTCTTGCTACCTCTACTAACGGAGTACGTTAGACATGCCGGAGAAGGAGGCGACGTACATCATTACCAACGGCGGTATCAACGATCCGGAGAAGGTGTGACAGATATGTAGTGATCTCGCTTCGGTGCATCTATGAGGGAAGATTTACGAGCAGGTGGTGGTTTACGAAACGGAGGTACTTATTTGATTCCCGGTCATGAGAAGGCTTTATGTGGATACATTCCTTAGTAGTCGCATTGCAGTAGTCTACGAACAGCAAGCCTACAGCTTTATAGTAAGATTGTACATGTCTAGACCCACTGCGACTGCAGTGACAGCAGCAATATATGCGACGAGTATTGCCATGGCCTGCACAACACTCATGTGCAAGGTCGGGAACGTCATGTTAACCAAACCCGTGAGCAGATTCGCCACAAGGAAGACTGCAAGACCATTGCGGTTGAAAGCATAAAGTACAGTGCTGGTAGCATCCCTGCTTCTCCGCGATTCATCGCTTTTGGTCGTAGCTTTGTACAAGTTCGGAAAGAGGATACTTTCGATAGCGTAACAAATGGTAATTTGGTAGCTGTTGAACGACGAGACCCAGAGGAAATAGGGCAGATTGGCTAGGCGGCGCGATACAGGGAGTCGAAGACCGTAGTAGCTAGTTGAGAAGTAGAATAACCCTGTCCAAAGCATGGAGGTCATGATCAGCTTCCCGAATGTGGATTGCCGAAGCTTCGTCTGGAATGTGGCATCCTTGGGGATTTGTTGTTGCCGAGGTAGTGCGGAGGCGCCCAGCGATTGACCGGCGAGGAAAATGGCGAGGTAGCCGAAGAAAGAGAATATGCCTTCTCGGTTCTGAGAGAAGAGATCCGTACGTGGGGCTATTAGGATGAAGGATCCGAGGGAAGTCCAGTCTAAAGCTATCTCGTAGATGGCAGCCAGAGTAAACGAGAGGACGGCATAGGAAGGGACCAAGTCAAAGGCTGATTGGAAAAGAGCAGCGAATGGGGGAAGGAAGCCCAGAGTAAAGAAGAAGTTCCAGTGTACCCCATATTCCGTGACGTGCTCGGCGTAGTCCAGTCCTTTTACAGAGATGAGCCGAATGATGCCTAGAATCAGGAGTGGGATGGCATGTCTGATTGATGCTGTCAAGCGCTTTAACAATGACTGACGACCAGCTCCTTCCTTGAGAGACGCCCGGACAGACACCACGCCAGCCGTGAAGACGAAAGATCCCACACCCATATCCATGAGCGATGTACCCCAGTTCTCCACTTTCGCGAAGCGCCTGGGAAAGACGCGGAAGTCGACTGCCAGAATAGCAACACACGTTATAACCATCATCGCGCCACGATAGTTCGTTATAAACGGCTTGACGGGCAGCGCATCGAGCTTCATGTCCTTTTCCGACTTATCGATCTTCGGTGGCCTTGGAGCGTCCTTCACCGCGACCGGTTTCTCGAAGACGTATAACGTGATTGCCGGGAGCAGCAGAAGGAGATTCAGGACCCATGGCGAGGAGGAGTATATGGTAGTCGCGAACAACGTGGCACCGCAGTTGAGCAGGAAGTCGACGAGGAAGGCAGGCGGCGTGTACGGCGTGAAGAGGCGCATGCGCGACTGGATGACAGACCAAAGTAGAATGCTCAGCTACGCATGCAGTTAGTAAGAGTGCATTGCTTGAGTAGTGGGTGTGTGTACGGTACAGGCATTGCGAGCGAGACGCTGTTCACGTCTGCTACGGAGCTCCCGGTGTGTCCAGACACCCAGGCCTCCTTCATTTGCTTGTATGTCTTCGCCATGATGCTAGAAAGAGCGTTGCGCGAGTTGGTCGTCTACTATACAGTGCAATGGTTGGTGCGTCCTGACGCGTCTGGCTGGCCTCTTCGCAAACGGAATGTGGCCCGAGCTTTGATGACCTCACACATCGCGACTTCCACACCCCTTCTTCTACACAATGCACAACGTGATGTAGAGAATATGGCCAAAACCCAGGGACTAGCCGTCAATACTGACACCGAAATCATGGAACGGTATGTGATTTTCACCGTGAATGCCAGAAAGAGTTGGAGTGCACTGCACGTGTCCGGACTTCCTCTTTCACCATCACTGCTCCTCTATGAGTAGACGCGTCCGTGCGCAGAACTCCAGATTTGGCAGCTACAATAGAAACTTCAGGCGCCTTCCCACCGCATCGCGACCGCCCCGCCGCGACACGTGCCGAACCTCTTTGCTGTGACCTCCTGACAGCTTGTCAAAGCTGTCAACACATGCTAACATGACGGGCGCTAACAAATCAAAGATACCCAGCATCCGACCGGCCTCGTTTGGCGTGAGAAGTCCGCTGCCTGAGAGGGCATTGTCGCCGGCAACGCGTGCGACGACGACGCCTACGGGCACTTCACGCCTCCCTCGTCGCCCTCAAAGCGAGAAACCGCTGCCCAGTCCGCCTCTCGCGCAGGTGGTAGATCCCAACTCGCCTCCTAAGGCTTCGCGCACCTTGCTTGATGCCTTTACGCCGAGCCCAACCCTGGAGAATTGGCCCATTCTCGCGCCGGAGAACATCCCCCCTCGCCTGAGTTCGAAGAGGAGCTCGCTCCCTACGCGAAGCGGGATCAACTCTGGCCGTCAAACGCCTTCCAATGGCAAGGAAGGCAGCAGGGTAAAGCGACTCTCATGGCATTCGACGGCGTCGGGCTCAAGCTCGGGAACTGGACCCATCCTCACGATCTCTGCCGATGCAGACGCAGTCATTCTCGGTCAGCGCGACTCCATCCCGGCAGTACCCGCCATCCCCGCGGTACTACCAGAGCGTACTCCTCAGCCGCGGTCTCTAGGCGCTCTTGCTAGTCGAATCACCAGGGCGACAACGTCCAAAGCATCGTTGAGCATTGCGACTACATCGCCAGTACACAGCACGGCAGAACTCACGGCAAATGGAAGTCCAGTTGTTAAGATCAGTCCCATCCGGTCGATGCAGCCAGCGAGGAAGCCTAGTCTTGACGCTCATTCTCCCCAGCTGCCTTTGTCTCCGTCTATGATCTTCCCAGACGCGACAACTGTCGGTAACACACCTGAGGTAATTGTAGAGACTGAGCGCAGTGTATCGCCGATCTCAGATAGGTCTGCGACGCCTACACCTGAGCCTAGGTCCGTACCGTTGCTTCGAGACTCCTCTGAACCGCCTGTGGATTCCTGGGACGCCTATCAGGTATGTGAACTCAATTGCGTGACGTGACAGTGCTAACTATAGAATCAGGAACAGCTTGAAGAGCTCTCTGAGCCTACGATTGTACCAGGACCCGACGACTCCCTCACCGTGAGCAAAGTCAGGCGGACAGCACCAGCACGCGAAAACGCGAGTCCCTCACCAAGCTCCATTTATCCTACCGTCGAGGACGACTCAACCGCAAACCCCAGTGCTGCCGAATTGAGTTCTTCGTCACTGCCTCACGCCGAGCCTTCACGCGAGACGGTCCGCACCCAGGCTCCTCCCAAGCCAAGGACCGCGGAGACTGCCAGGTCGATCAGTATTGATAACCCATTGGGTCGTGGAATACCCAAAGCCCGTCAGCCCTTTCGCCGCCACGTCACACCTGTAGTCTCTTCGTCGCCTGCAGAAGATACACCCCCGGACAACCATGATAAGGAAACTGTTACAAGCAGGATCAAAGCCAAACGCAGCATTCGCAACCTGTTCAACCGTGAGAAGACAAGCCCAAAATCACCAGAGGCGGCGGCGTCCAAGCAAGGATTCATGAGTAGCACGCGGAGCTCGCTCGCTAAGGTCTTGCGCGATTCCAAGAGCCTCTCGAAAGTTCATCTGCCAAGAAAGACTGAACCGAAGCTGGAGACTGAGTCTGATCACGTCTCTAATAAGAGGAGCTTCCAGCCAGGCATGTTCTCTGCATTTCCCAGCGGTAGAGCCACCCCGGCCGAACAGCCATCATCTGGAAGACCGAGCCACGCAGATGAGATGCTTCACGACATCGTCGACCGCATAGATGCGCAACCTGAGAACTCACAAGAGCGTCTGCGTCACGTGGAGATTGCAGAGGTAAGTGAAGCCCTCCGAATCAACACCGCGGATGAAGCCCTCCGATTGAAAACCATTGCTGAAGAAGAGCTTGTCCTGACCGTACGAAATAAACAGTGCATCATTTCGGCCGCCGACAGTTCTCGCAAAGCAAACATCAGCGCTATGGAAGCGAGGAAGAGTGCTGTTGAAGCGGAATATCATGCAGACCGTGTCACGTCCGAGTTCACACGCTTGCGCGAGCTACTCGACACCACGCCGATGGATGCTGAGTCCACGAGATACATCAAGAGTTTCCTACCTAAATTTGAACGCAAGCGATCGAGAGAGGAGATTCGCCGAGGATTTATGCCGGGCTTTCATACAGCATGTTGAAGGTATGTTGGCAGTATTCTATGTACCCACAGACCAACAGCTAACGAAGAATAGCGCGCCTCGAACACCGCTTCGTATGCTCTGCTATCACACACACCCGGCTATTGTTCAAGGCTCGTTCTTTGCATGATTGACGCAAGGTCATATCTACGACTTGATCTTGAATCTGGGGTTTCCAGGTTTTACTGGACCAGATGACCTCTTGTACACTTCCATTTCCTTTTATCGACACTTCTTTCACATGAGAGAAACACCATGGCGGGACGATTGTACGATACCCAACAATTGCACGAGTTTACGGTTTCGCGATGCTATGAAAGCACACGCTCATGGACCGACCCGATGTCTTGCTCACTATTCAGCAAGGACATCACCTAATGATTAGAAGACTGAATGACTGGACACTGAGTTACTTGATCGGACTGCACTTACATATGAACACGTAAGGTGCGACATTGGGAGATACCCTGATACATAGACCGGTCGAATTGAAAACATAAACTTTGTATTGTACATGTCCTTCATATCGTGTTGTATCATTGCTGAGACTGCAACCACATCAACAGTCGCACGTCAAGAGGCTGGAATGGAGTATGCAGAGCAACCCTCCAGCATCTTCAAATAGAGAAACGTCTGCTGCAATGGTGCTCCTACGCAGCCGTGGTCGCCCGACAACATGGCGCCTCTGCTCCTAAATGCAAGACCTCTTGTGGCCCAAAGCAACAGCCATGAGGTTTATCCATATCATCCAGCCCCAGCATCTCGCGCATTCCATATAGCATCCTTCTTTACATTCCACCACCGAACATGCCACCGCCACCACCCTGCTTTCCCTGCGCCTCACCCTGCATCTTCTCGCTAACCTTGACATTGACCTCGAAGAACTTGGATACGCAGCGGTCGAGGCACACGGATTCGCCCTTGTTGAGATCGGCTTCGCGGTACGATGTGTCTATGCATTTGGATGTGCAGGATTTGACGAGGCTGGAGCAGTGGAAGTTAGTAAATGCTTGTTTCTTGGAGGGATTGAGGGAGGAAGGATGGGGGGAAGGGAGGGAGGGATGGAGGTATGAGAGGGGGTTTGTGACGTACCGGCTGTACATGTCGGAAACCATGTCGATTTCCGCCTCGGCCTGTGCAATCTTTTGCTCCGAAGAGATTTGGGGTTTTTGACCGAAGAACATTGACATGTTGGGTGGTGGGTGGTTGTTTCCTTTCTCGGGTTAACGAGGGGTGCGCAATTGGCGTGTTGGTTGGGTTGGTAGGTACGGTACGGGTGCGTGGTGGCTTGTTGGGGTGGAGTGGCCGTGGTGATGGATTTGGACATGGGTGACGGCGGGCGATGATGTCGCGCGAGCAAGAATTTGGAGCTAGGTGCGCGGTGCGGGACGTGCGTCGAGGAGGCTTGATGACGCGGTATGCCGACCACCATTTCGTCTCTTCGTCTTTAGGCAAACTTCGCAGCTATAGCTACTTATCACGTCGCTTTACGTTTTCCATTCGCTCTTTCAGCCATTAGCCGCATCTATCACCTTGTGCATCCCCGGGCGTCCGGCGCAATGACGAGATTCGCATTCGCTGTCATCAGCATGAGTCTCCCGGATTCTGGAATGAAGGAGAGACACTGTGCATATCTCGATGAGGTATTCTAATCGACGGCTTGAAGCTTTTCTTGTCCAGCTGAACATACATTGCTGTTTGACAAACTTCAGATACCACAAAGCCCACGCTCGCTGCTACTACAAGTATCCATGGATGCCTCCTCACAACCCATCTCTGGGCTCATCTCTTTGTTTCCGCCACGATGAACTCCAGATCACGCATCCGTAAGCAACTAACTTCGACAAATCATGCCTTCCTCACGAGTTTTCCTTCTGAGCTGCGTAATCAGATCTACGAATACGTCTTCGATGACTTTAATCATGCTATTTTGGTCACGCACACGGCCGCTTCAACGGATGACGGCAGGCCAATGAACGCATCACCACGTATGGGAACCAACAATTCCGTTTTCTTCTGTAACATACCGTCTGTACAGCTGCTTCGGTGTTGCCGACAGATCTACCGCGAAGGCATAGGTGTGATCCTGAACGGGACGACAGTCATGTTCAGAAATCGGCGTAACTTCTTGCCATTCCGGGAGAGGGACCACCTGCCATTTGTACGTTCCTGGCTGAAGCAATTCCGATCAGAGACCCCGCTCTTGCGAGCAGTCGTTGTTGATCTATCTGTACCGCCCCTTCCCTATCACAACGACCACCACAAGCGTATAGATCTCCTACCTTTACTAAGCAGCATGGTTGGCTCGCCTCAAGCAATATTGTGGGTTGACTTCACGTTGAGTCCACGATCACCGCCAATTCCGTCGGTACCAGACTACACGAACGCTCGCCTACGTTTGGGTTATCCTCATTGGAGAGATCCTCCGGATCAAAACTTACTGGAAGGAACGTTTTACACACTTGTGACACAAGATCCACTTAATCTTCGTAGACTTGGCGATTTAGGCCGCCGTCTTGCGTGCATCACGTTTGACAGGTCTGCAATCAAAGGTAACATCAGATGGCGTACCATCACTGGTTGTCTGGCGCCCAATATAAACTTCAAAGTTCCTGAAGACAGTTGGGTAATACACAAGAGACAGGTCCAATCGACCTCCAATCTCTTCTTCCTCCCACCAGATGTCCTGGGGACAATTTGCGAACACGCACTAAGCTTACTTGAGAGCGTAGTTGTCGTCCTCGGTTCGAAGACAAGCATATTTCCAAGATTTCTACTGCTCAACCTTGTCAAGGACCGTCCAAGACTCCTCGGCGTTGTCGTGCCCAGTATCTACACTTCGAACATGTTCACATTTGTTACGAATCTTCATACGAAACGGGCAACATACGGAGATATGTCACACCTGTTCTTTTGGCTGAGAATGGACGTGCTCGACATTCGGACGACCGCCACGACAACCCCAGAGACGGTTCACAGAGTCAAAGAAGAAACAAAACGGAGATCTGGCAAGAGATTAGCCAGGGCCACCGCCAGAGCAGCCGCCGGACAACGTAAGATTTTGTCGGTGACGTTTTCCGAAAGAGTGGTTGATAGAAAGATGATGTCTTGGCGACTGGCTCGTGAAGCAAGGCAACGACGTAACGACAATCAGGCGAAGGCGGCTCAGACAACGGCTACGAAAGACGCACGAACAATCTTGCGGTGGATGAAGGCTGTCCAATTTGAGTTTCGATTCGATCTCTGCGAGAGAACGTCATTAGAGAGGTTACGGATCAGCATCATCGACTTACTCAAAACGACAACATGGGACGAACCTTTTACTGCCTCCATCAAATGCGTGCTCACTTGTCCTGGGAAAGATGGTCGCACTGCGCACTACGAAAGCGCCTTCACCCTCCGCCATGTACAGCTCAACGCTTTCATTATCCTGTCTCACGTACTGCAGGCCCAGCCCGGCAGGTTGAGATGGACTTGTCCAAACGTCTACATCAACGGCTTCGGCATCGCCGTAGAGATCACATACCCAAACAAGCCCCGAGGGCCCAGGTTTCACCACGCCACCCACGATATGAGCAACCCAACAAAAGCAGAGGAGCGCGGTAAGCATTACGCTAGGTGGCTCAAGTATCTAGTGCCTGTGGGCGGGAAAAGTTGGGAGGGTAGGGAGATGACTGATGATGAAAATCGAGTTCCGGGTAGCTTAATCAGGGTGTGGGATGATTTGAGGATCGCGCTATGGGGTGAAGGTCTGAGAGCTGCGTGGTGAGTAATTGGGCGCCTTGACGAGGACCCACTTCTCGATGTAACAGCGGCGAATCTGCGTACAAGGCCGCATGCGGTAAGTGGCCGCCTGTCTAGGTAAAAGCGCAAAGCGCGTGCCTTCTACTTCCTATATTCCCGGTGGATTACTACTGTTTGTCTTCTACTCTTCGTACTTTCCTCTATACTTTACACTCATCATTTCTGCCATGGAACCTATAACCAACACTAAAGACAGGGTTAGAGCAATCCCAGAGACGTACTCATTGCCGGCGGACGCAAGCGCACGTTCTTTCATCTCGCTCCCCTCAGAGATCCGAAATCAGATATACGACCTACTGTACGTCTTGGATGAACAACTCTTCGTATGGGACACGGGCGCACGTTGGGGAGGTGTCGAATCAGAAGCGGCGCTGAATTTTGGGCTACTCTTCAGCTGTCGCCAAGTTTACTGGGAAGCTGCCAGCGTTCTATATCAACGGAACCACTTCTTCGTGTCATCCTGGTACGAACAGGCTTATTTCAAGAAATGGTCCGAACAACTCGGTCCTCGGTCGCAATTCCTGAGACATGTCACCATCGATTACACCGCTTTGTCTTCCGAGCTGGAGGAAGATCACGGCCCCACTTGGGTAGTCGCTCTCGACTTGCTGCCGTTGTTACGATTGCTTTGGACCGAGTCTGGAGCAATGCTGCAAGTCTCGATCGAGACTCCAAGTTATAACGATGCGCCCGCCATATTCAACAACGCTTTCAGATCCATCGCTCAGGAAGACCAGCTAAACCTCAGACGGTATTCAAATTTACTTGCATCGGTGATCTTGAGGGTTGAAGGGACCATGGGCACGGTTACCTTCGCAAGCACTACCCCCGAAGCGAACGTGCAATCTACTTTCTCATGCTCAGATGAAGGGAAGGTAGTCACTATGAGCCAAATTCCGCGGAAACCGGAGCTCTCAGCTTTACCTGCATCCGTTTATCATGCTATCATTGCATATGCAGTCCAGCCTACCGTAAAGCTCTTCGCTAGCCCGCTCTCTACGATACTGCCGCCGTGGAAGTCCCCTGTGTTCCGTGTCAATCGCAAGGTACGGTCAGACGCCCTATACCATGCGTATAGAACCACTTCGTTCATCTTCATGCTCGCTTCAGAAGGTCTCCGACCCAATTTCGGCGGATTCTCATATATAGAGAGATTGCGTATGGTAAGAGCCGACTCAGAGAATGAAGCCCAACTCTGGCCACACGGTTTCGCCAGCGACGTCGACCTCTTGGCGAGAAACTTCCAGCTTTTGCTTGAAATTAGTCTTCGGCCAGAGGATCAAGATATGGATGATGTTCGCATCGACATAATCGAGCTGCTTCGAGCCACGTATCAATCGCGCCCTTCCATGGTCATAACTGTTCGGTTGCGCTCATTACGCGACGGTGTCAGCAGCAACACCCAGTCCTCATTCACACTCAAACAGCTGAGACTGAATGTATTCATCGTTCTGTCTCAAGTCTTCGAGGACGAGGACTACAGAAGGCATGGGCGCTGTCCGGCTGTCTACATCAACGGCAAGGGTCATCCAGTGGAGCTCGTCTACCACGCGGATGATGTCATCAGAATGTTACCAGACCAGTCTCAGGTGTTCAAAAATCAAGAATCGATATCGAAGAAAGCGAAGAGATATGAACAAAGGTTGCGACATCGGGAAGAGTTTCTTCACCAAGAAGGCTGTATATCACTTGGCAAAATGTGGGACAGCTTGACACTCATGATTTGGCCTCGTAAGCCCAGCTACGACAAATGGTGAACGGATGTCAATCTTTTTCAACTTAGTGTAGGTGATACATTGTCTTAAAAGAGATGGTAGCAGTAATCTACTATATCCAGAAATTGAAGGTGCTGAACGCGTGACATCATCACCTCGCTTAGCGCCCCGCGTGTTTCCACTCACCTCACCAGCTCGTACCTAAGTTCCATCTTCAAATCACTAATTCCGTGCGAAACTATTCCATCTTGCGCCGCGCATCTCCGTGCCAATGCCCCGGGAAATGGATGAGTGGGGTTGCCGTTGAGGTTTTAATACCTTTCAGGCAGGTGCTGTCGATCTCCGCCCAATTAGATCAAGACCCACGATGATGCGATGCCCAGCATCAACTATGTGATAAGATGCCGTCACTGACGATGTACGGTATATGTAGTAGGCTTTCGCATTGAGAGATATCCATTCCGTCGGGTATCAAAGTATTCATCATGCGGCTTACCACTTTCTTCTATACCGCCGCTCTTGCGGTAACGGCCATCGCAACTCCCATATACGGAACGAATGGCACTAATACGACTTACGTCGGTCCAGAAAACGGCCACCTCGTAATCGTTGGAGGAAATCTGCAGAGCGAGAGCATCTACCAGCGCATCATCGCCCTTGCTGGCGGCCCCAATGCATCGATTGTTGTGGTTCCCACGGCAGGTGGCGAGGACACATACGACCAGAACTTTACGACCGCAGTGGCCTTCCGCAAGTATGGTGCCAACAACGTGACGGTATTGCATACATACGATCCCGCGGTTGCCGATACCGACGAATTCGTTGCACCGTTGTTGAGTGCGAAGGGCATCTTCTTCGGTGGAGGTAGACAATGGAGGCTCGTGGATGCCTACGCTGGCACCAAAGCCGAAGCAGCGTTCCAGGACGTCCTCGATGCTGGAGGTGTTATCTCAGGGTCTAGTGCTGGCGCGAGTATCATTGGCAGTTTCCTTGCTCGTGGTGACACCGCGAACAACACCATCATGATAGGTGAGGCCTCTTCGATGTACGCCACAAGAGAGAGAAAGGCTAACGAGTTCTGTAGGCGATCATACTGTCGGCTTTGGATACTTAAAGAACTCGGCCATCGATCAGCACGTTCTAGTACGCAACAGGCACTTCGACATGTTCGAGATCCTGAACGCCTACCCGGAGCTGCTAGGATTGGCAATTGACGAAGACACCGCGCTGGTGGTCAACAAGAACGAGATGGAAGTCATTGGCAGCACGTATGCATTGGTATACGATGGTGGTTTCTGGTCGAGAGAAGGAAGCTGGGAGAGGCCTCTGCCGCCGTCCAACGCGAGGTTTTACTTCTTGCGAGAGGGCGATAGGTATGATCTTGGAGCTAGAGCAGTCATTGAGCCGGAAAGCACTGGCAGCGGTGACGATATGTAACGAAAAGTCTCTATAGACTGGAAGAGAAGTCGTTCACATTGAATGCTGAACATTGAACACTGAATACTGGCCAAAGTATATGAAATGAACTTATCAGCGTCCTACATAGTGGTCAACAGGCTCCGGCTGGAGACACCTCAATCTGCTGGCCCTTCTCAGCAAGATAGGCATTCGCGGACGCGCAAGCGCCATGGGGTTGCGTTTAAACTCCCGAACAGGGACCGCGAGCTGGGTTGATACTGTGAGGAGTGTGGGGGGCAGGTAGTGGTATATTAGAAACGTGCCTCGGCATCTTTCGGCTCCTTTGGGGAAAAGCGGAGAAAGTAAGCTGACGGCGACGAGCTCAACGACACGACCTTAGGCTTGGCTGCGTTATCTGAATATTGCATATCTCTTATTATTGCCGCATATTGTAGCTCCTTTGCGCGCTGAAACATTTGCATTTCTCCAACCCAACAATTGCGCGTCGAATATTACGTCATCATGTCCAGAAGCTACGAAATCATCGCCATCCTCAAGCCCAAGCCTGGCAACCAAGACAGAGTAAGCGCGGAATTAGCACCCTGACATGTACAAACAATTAACCCCTCCCAGGTAGAAGAGCTGCTCAACATCGCAGCCCAAGAAGTAAAGGCCACTGAACCCGGCACCACCCGGTATCACCTACAGCGCGAAACAAAGGGCGACGCGCCGAGCTTTGTTATATTTGAAACGTAAGTCACGCTGCAAAGCCTTGGGCAAATTCAAAACTGACAGTAATCAGATATGCGGACAAAGATGCTCTGATGTTCCATGCCAAGAGCGCGGGATTGAAGAAGTTACAAGCGGCGGTCAACGGGGAGGATCTTCTTAGGGAGCCGATGTCGGTTATGATTGTTAAGGATGTGGGCGGTTTCAAGAGCAAGTTGTAGGCTGGGTGGGAACAAGACATATTAGACGATAATGAAGGGAGCGAATACGTCATCAAGCCTACGAAACGAGAGTGTGATCTGGATGGGTTCATGCTGTGTCGGTCGAGCTTTACTAATAACTAGCTAGGTAACGACCTTTCTCGAAACCATTGCTAACACTCATGGAAACTGTGCGTGCGTCGTCTGCTCCAGGTAATACAACCCGAATATGGACGCCAACTTCGACATGATAGATCTCTGAACGAGAAGACAAATCCCACGTTGCCTGGCGCCGAGCTCACACCAGTACTAGGAGTCGTAAGGCGAGATCCGGGGCGCATCCTCTGTCATTCCCGACTTCCAAGTCATATAATACCACTCGAACTTGTCCTTGGTGATTTGCTTCATGATCCACGCCTTGTCGCGCTTCCGCTCAGGCTCCGCATCTGAATGCACACTCTCCCCCTCCGACTCGAAGACATCCATAAGGCGATGCTGATGATAGTCGGCGAGGGCGAAGACATGTATCGGAAGGAGAGGCCTCTTGTCTTTGCGCATGACGACAACAGAACCAACGTCATTCTGCCACTCTGGTGGTGCGAGGCCCCAGTTGAAGGCGGTATCTGTACGCTCGGGCTTGCAGCCAATGTTGAGGAATGTACCAGCAACATTGACCCAAGACGTGTTGCCCGACGGAGTCTCTGGTCGCTGTTTCCATTTGACGACACTTCCAGGAATGCGCTGAACAGTAAAGGGTAGTTCAATGTGCTTTGAGACATCGGTGGCTGCGTGGAAGAATGAGCGGTAGGCCGGAAGTTCCATAGGCTCATAGCGAGGACGGCCCTCAACTTCGACGTCGCCATCGCAGTTGATTCGTACGCCGACTACGCTACTCAATTCTTCTTTGATGTCCTCAATCGTCGGACCAACAGCGTACTTGAAGTAGTAAGTGTTGAGCTTGTGCGCGATAATACGAAGGTCGGAAGGACCGAGATCTTGGCTGTAAGACGGATCTTGACTGAAAGGGACGTCGTCGAAGGCATCGGTCCCATACGCAATCATCGGACCCCGCCAGGCGTGTAGGTGAGGAGAATTGGGGTCGATGATCTTGTCGATAGCCATGTTGTGTGTCGACCCATCGTGAAGAAAGTTCTCGCGGTAGGACAAGACCAAGTTGTATGGGAGACGACGGGCGAGCGCGTGATTATGCCGGATCTTCATACCTGTCATACCAATTTCCTCTTCAGACTCTGTTTCCTTCTCGTTGTTGGCGGCTAGCGCACCGGGGCAAGCTGTGAGGCAAGGGTGTCCGTACTCTCCATCCTCGGTTATAGTCTTGAGCCAAACGAATCGTGGTGCGCCCTCGTCGGGATGGAAGTAGATAGCGCGAGTGTACTTCTCGCCAGGTTTCTCGGCCTCGGGGCGGTCTTGGAAGTCCTTGACGGATTTGCAGAGGATCTTGTGAAGAGACCACGCCTTCTTCTGGCACTCTTTGGAGCAGTACCAGCTGGAACCGCAGCCAACGCAGCGTAGCGCGCCCTCGTTGTCGCACTCGTCGCAAAGCGTCATCGGTGTCTTGATCGGCCGTTCAGTATCGGGGCTGGAGAAACGTGTGGAAAGGAGTGGATGACAAAAGGTGGAAAGAGCCTGTCATCGTAGCAAACAAACATTGTGGTCCGAGCGCAGGTGAAGGTAAAGATGAAGAAGGAAGTAGATTCAGATGTTGCAAGGGTTTCAGTAAGACTTGCAATCACTTGTTAGATTGCTATATACATTTCATATGCATAGTATACGAAAGTCCATTTACATGGTGCTCTGGAACTCCGCAGGCTCAGCACCATAGTCGCTACCGTAACCTCCATACCAGTAGTCACCAACGTACTCGACGCCCTGAGCAGTCTGGTTAGGACGCTGAGGCCACATGTCTAGCATCGCATGTTCTCCAGTCAAGGTAAAGTTGACGCTTGCAAGCGGGTGGTTGTCGATCATCATGGTGTAGTCACCAGGGTACAAAACCTTGTTGCCCATCTCGTCAACTCTGGCAAGCGACGCAAGAGTGAGGTTGAGAGTCGCAGTCGCGGAAGAGCCTCCAGCAATGTTGTGAAGACGCTTGTAAGAGACGAGCGACTTCTTGGGGTGGGGCGCAGGACCAAACTCTCCAGCAATGTAGCCAAGAGTGACGTAGTCAGAGCTAACATCGCCATCGTTGGAGACCTCGACATCGACAGATACGAAGGGGCAACGCTCGAGGAAACCTCCAGTGCTGTTGCAGTTCTGCGTGAGGGCAGAGATGGTGTAGCTCTGTTGAAGCTCGCTAGTGACTTCAGCGGAGAAGTTGGTGTAGTGCAGACCGTGACCGAACTCGTAGACGGCGGAACCGTTGTACCACTTGTAGGTGCGACCAGGGTTGTTTTCACCAGGGCGCATGTTCATGTCCATCATGGAGACCTGGGCGATGTAGTTGGAGGGGTACTGGGTCGTAGGTAGACGTCCAGCGGGAGCAGTCTTTCCGGTAACAATGTCGATGATGGCGGAACCTCCATCCTGACCGGGGTATCCGGCCCAGAGGATGGCAGAGATGTTGGGGTTGTTGACGAGAGGAGTGTTGTCAATCTGTCCACCTCCAGTGACTACAACGATGACTGGCTTTCCGGTGTCGGCGAGCAGGCTGATAACATCGAGCTGAGCTCCAGTCCATGTGAGGTAAGTACGGTC